ATAAAGTTATTTCTTATTGGCAAAAATATATTAATTTGTAATGGTTCATATTTTGATTAATAAAGTTGTGTTTTAAACCTAGTTATAATTATTTGAAATTCACAATCCAAACCTGCAATTCCTTTTGCACCAATGTAATGTCTAATTCATTGTTGAAGGAAGAGTTAGTTCCAAGAGGCCCAGGAATAATCCTTCAGGGATGCTCAACTAACAGAAGAAGAACAGTTTGTAGGAGACAGGTAACCTCAAACTGAAGGCAGTGTATATGAGTGGCAGTCATGAAGCTTGATTCCAGAAGGCAGGGAAGTAATTGAAAAGAACTTTAGAGTCTATTGTAGTGGGATATTTGAGGTTTATCTGTTTTTAAAGATTATTAGCAATTTTTGTTGTGTTTTCTGGAACAGAAGCTTTTTAATTGACATATAATGGTACATAGTAAAATACACATGTTTAAACTGCAATAGGATGAGTTTTGGCATATGTGTACATCTATGAAATTGTCACTAAAATATGAAAATAGCCATTGCTCACATGTTTCCCTGTGCTCTTAGGCGTCTCTGCTGTCCTCCTGACTGCCTTCTCCTCCCGTCCTCCCTTCCTTCTCTGCTGTCCTCCTGACTGCCTCCTCCTCCTGTCCTCCCGTCCTCCTCTGCTGTCCTCCTGACTGCCTTCTCCTCCCGTCCTCCCTTCTCTGCTGTCCTCCTGACTGCCTTCTCCTCCCGTCCTCCCTTCTCTGCTGTCCTCCTGACTGCCTTCTCCTCCCGTCCTCCCTTCTCTGCTGTCCTCCTGACTGCCTTCTCCTCCCGTCCTCCCTTCTCTGCTGTCCTCCTGACTGCCTTCTCCTCCCGTCCTCCCTCCCTCCTCTGCTGTCCTCCTGACTGCCTTCTCTCCGTCCTCCCTTCCTTCTCTGCTGTCCTCCTGGCTGCCTTCTCCTCCCGTCCTCCCTTCCTTCTCTGCTGTCCTCTTGACTGCCTTCTCCTCCCGTCCTCCCGTCCTCCTCTGCTGTCCTCCTGACTGCCTTCTCCTCCCGTCCTCCCTTCTCTGCTGTACTCCTGACTGCCTTCTCCTCCCGTCCTCCCTTCTCTGCTGTCCTCCTGGCTGCCTTCTCCTCCCGTCCTCCCTTCCTTCTCTGCTGTCCTCCTGGCTGCCTTCTCCTCCCGTCCTCCCTCCCTTCTCTGCTGTCCTCCTGACTGCCTCCTCCTCCCGTCCTCCCTCCCTTCTCTGCTGTCCTCCTGACTGCCTCCTCCTCCCGTCCTCCCTTCCTTCTCTGCTGTCCTCCTGACTGCCTCCTCCTCCCGTCCTCCCTCCCTTCTCTGCTGTCCTCCTGACTGCCTCCTCCTCCCGTCCTCCCTCCCTTCTCTGCTGTCCTCCTGACTGCCTCCTCCTCCTGTCCTCCCTTCCTTCTCTGCTGTCCTCCTGACTGCCTCCTCCTCCCGTCCTCCCTTCCTTCTCTGCTGTCCCTTCCACCTAGTCAAGGAGCCAGTGACCTGCTTTCTAGTAACAAAGCACCATGTAAGCATATTTTTGTTGCATGGCTTTGCCTTAGTATTCATCTGTTGATGGAGATTAATGCAAGACGTTCTGTATAGAAAGAAATCACATTTGGGGGCCAATAATTGTATGTCAGATATAAAGAAATACGTCCATAAAATTGGGAAGATCATGGGTGTTTTCTTTGTTTTTGGCTTTTTTTGAGACAGGGCCTCACTGTTTAGCCCCGTCTGGCTTGGAATTCACGATGTAGACCAGTAGGCTTCAAGTTCAGTGCCTTTTGAGTGCTGGAATTAAAGGCTGGTGCCACCATGCCTGGCTAAGAAGATCTGTATTTAATCTGAAGGCAAGATCATATCATTGTCTACTAGGGTATTACAGTGGGTACTTTCTGTTCATATTTGATAGTTACTTTTGGAGGTTTTCCAGGGCCAGTTCTTCTCATTGTACTTATTATTTATATATGCTTCTAATGTTGACATTATACCTTATAGAGGTTTTAATAATCCAAACATGTCAGTAAATTGGGACAGGAGCATTTCTGAGCCATCCTCACCATATTCTCAGACATCAGCTTATAAAAACTAAGATGAAAAATTACCAGTCGACCGTGAAAAATAAAATGACTCTCGATAGGTTCTCTGGAAAAACCAAGTGCTAATCAGAAGATTGGTTGGTTAGCAATGTCTGGATAATACCTTTCTACAAGGGCAAGAGTCTATCTGTTTGGAAAGGTTTAATGTTTAACATACCAGAATTTTTTTTTAAACCATTACAGTAACAGAAAACTTGGTGCACCCTTCAAATCTCTTATAAAAGTTTGAACTTTCCCTTTTTAATTTTGTACCACTTTGTATTTGTTAATAATTTTAGATATAGGGTCTGGAGAGATGGCTCAGTGGTTAAGAACACTGGCTGCTCTTCCAGAGGTGGGCTTGATTCCGAGCACCCAGAATATGGCTAACAGTTCCAGGGGATCCAAAGCCCTCTTCTGAAGGCAGTACATGCATGTAGTGCACAGACGTACATGCAAATAAAACACCCATATACATAAAAATAAATGTTAAAACACTCATATATGTATATGTATATGTATACACACACACAAAACATTTTTAAAGTAATTTGAAACATCTTTGGAGGAAAAGGGTGATTGGTAATGTCGACTGAACACTAACTATATACCTGTCTTTCTGTCTTAAAGTTTATTAAATCAATATAGCAAAGCAAATAACATCCAGACCTTTCCACAATATTTCTTAATAGGATTACATAGGTAATTAGATATCATTGACTTGACTAATATTAACATTTATGTATTTTTAAATGCTAGTTTCCTAGGTCTTTTGTAACAAATGCTACAAATGGAGTGACTTACAGCTCAACTTTATTCTCAGTTCTGAATGCCAGAGGACTGACAAAGGGCAAATGCTGTTGGTTCCTTCCGGAGGCTTCTGCCCTAGTGTCTCACCACTTTGGCAGCTTTGGTGCTTCTTGGTTTTAGATGTGACTCTCCAGTCTCTGCCTGTCTTGCTGTGGCCTTCTCCTCTATATCTCTGCATCTGAAATGTCCCCCTCCCTCTCCTTTCCTCTCTCCAGAAAATGACTTTTTTTTTTTTTCCAGAGAGAGTGGTGATAATGACCATTATAAGTATGACCAACTTCCATGTTCATGAAAGTTACCTTTGCAAGGAGTTTTATGAGGGTGAAAATGACACTTTAGGGAAGTGAACATTATTAGTACCTACAGGAACATTCGGTGTTTGGGGCTCTGTGTCTTACTGTCAAATTTCATAATGCTTTAGGAGTCCCAGCCAGGCACTCACATGCCCCCAGCTGTATTGGTACACTGAGAGAAGGCATGTCCCAGCTGTCTGATCAGTCTTCATATTTGCATCCAGTTCTGGGGAAGGTTCTACTGGACAGGGAAGGGGGCCAGTGCCTCCCACCTGTCAGAAAAAACTTCTTTATTTTGTTTAGAAATTTCCTATGAAGCCCAGGATGGCCTTGAATTCTCAGTCTTCTTGCCTCAGCCTCCTGAATGCTGGGATTATAGAAATATGCAATGATGTCCTTCCTTATAAGGATGCCAGTAATTGGGTTTAGAGTTAGATTTAGTGCCCACTGCAGATCTAGGATGATTTCATCTAAATTCCTTAACTAAGGGTTTATAAAGACCCAATTTCTAATGAAGATTTTTATTCATAGACTCTGAGGGTTAGGAATTAGACCTGTCTTTTAGGGGTATAGTTCTTTACAGTATTAAAATATGCTCTGTGCATACCACTCGGCCTCACTAACTCTTAGTGAATTGATGAACATAGGACAGTACTCCTGCATCTTCGCAGATGGTGGGGTTACAGGTATGTGCCACTATACCTGGTGAGGTCCTTTAATGAATCAATTTGAAACTGTGGTTTTGGACTCTATCTGAAAATGCTCTAGTCTTCACTGCTGGGTTGTGGCACAGACAGGGAAGTGGGCAATGTGAAGGAGATAAAAAGAGAGAAGTGGAAACAAGGATGGGAGCCAGGGTATCTCCTGTTGTAATGGTTGCTTGGGTATTTGAGGAGTGTGAAGCCTACTGCAGCTATAAGCTGTGCCTAAAAATTCAGGCCAGAATGGAACAAAATTGGCATTTCTTTTGGAATAACCCATTATGTTCATTTGGCTACCTGTTTTTAAAATCTCTGCCAAGTGAAATAATTTGTTTCAGTGAATGGCTTTAACAAGATTCTTTTAAGCTGATCTCACTTGGTAGTTCATCATTTCCATGTATTCTATATCATCAAATGGCATTGTATGTGTAGACAGAATGAATTAGTCTTTGTGCTTATAAAAAGTTGTGCAATAATTAGTTATAATGTTGTTAGAAATATTGTAGGATCAAAAATCATGACCTGAAGCACTCTTGAGTTCAGAAGACCCAAATCAGCATACATATAATTATCATTAGTTCTTTTATTACAGGTGCTAGGATTGGAAACAACAGAAGAGTATAAATTGAGCTATTGACAGCTTGTTTGTGGTCATTCTCCCTACCCCATCTCTAGCTTTGTTGGGCATCTCCTGGCTGTGTACTGGCCACTGTTTAATGCCTTGAAATGAATACACTGATTTTATTTCAAGCCCTTGTAAATGCTATCCCTTTGCCTATACTACCCTCTAGTCTTTTCTTCATCTGGTTTACCCCTAGGTTTGAGGCACTCTTGGTTTTGAACATTTTAGCATATATGTCAATTTTTTTTCCAGGCATAACTTTGCTAACTCCTTAAGGAGAGAGTCGTCCCCATTTAATTAAGTTACATTGCATAAGTCAGATAAGTAAGTAATTGGGGAACTAGGAGATGTTCTTGTTTTGTTACTGAAGCTAAATGAGTCATTGCTGCTCAATAACTATGTATTGAAGGAATGTATAAGCATCATTTCTGCATCTTGTTTTCTGTGTTTAATATTTTAATAATTTATTTCTTCATTTAAGTCAAATGTCTTTTTTTCTCCCTCTGAAGAGCTTGGCGGAATTGGAAACATTGTGCACTCATCTTTACGTAGGGACTGATCTCACAGAAAGAATAGAGGCTGAGAAAGCACTCTTGGAACTGATTGACAGCCCAGAATGTCTCAGCAAGTGTCAACTTTTATTAGAACAAGGAACAGTAAGTATGTGATGAGTGATTAACCATGAAAGGCCAGTGTTAATGATGATAGCAGTGGTTAGCAGTGATACTTAAAGCTTTTGCCACATTTTTTTTTGTAATTTCCTGTCAAGGGGGTTAAGCGGGAACGAACTAGAAAGCCAAGGAAACAACATAGCAAATGGCCACACAGTAGAAATAGAAATGTGTTGAATAGTTTCTTGGCTCTTCTTGGCCTACTTTTGTGTCACATTTTATATGTTTATTTTAGCAGTGCTAGGGAATGAACCAGGGCCTTGCTAGGCAAGCTTTCTATTACCAAGTTACATCCCCAGCCCTAACAATTATATTTCAGAAATAGCTTAAAAAAAAATCCAAATGTTGTAGGTAGGTAATGATTAACTCTAGAAAATCAAAAGATTGTTCAGAAGAGTGCTCACTGCCTCTTCATACCTCCATTCTAGACAGTCATAGCTATATCTGTATGTATGTATGTATGTATGTATGTATGTATGTATGTAGAGAGAGAAAAAAAATAGAGTGCTGACTCAGTAGTCAGCACATACTGAAACATAGCCAAATACTGTACTGCTTATTTGGCCTATGTACTTGAATTAAAGTAGTTCACTGTGTGGTTAGAGAGGCACAGATGTATAAATAAAAAGGTGTGAAATGATATGGAGAATACTACAGAAAGAGACTTATGTTTTACAGAAAAGTGACAAGCTTTCCATAAAGGGCCATGTAGTGTTTTAGGCTTTGTGAGCCAAAATTGATATTTCATAAGTATATATATAATAATAGAGAAAACAAATACTGAAAGTTTTGTTGGTAAAATTCAAATTTTAATTATTGAATGTAGTTTTTTAAGTCATACAGGTTGGCTGATAAAAAGTTAGGGATTAGGGCTGGAGAGATGGCTCAGCGGTTAAGAGCACTGACTGCTCTTCCAGAGGTCCTGAGTTCAATTCCCAGCAACCACATGGTGGCTCACAACCATCTGTAATGAGATCTGGTGCCCTCTTCTAGCCTGCTGTCATGTATGCTATATATATAATAAAAAAAATAAAATCTTTAAAAAAAAAAAAAGTTAGGGGTTAATTGGAGTTTAAAGTTGGTGTTTCCTGTTATTAGACTTGATTGCAGATATTCATTGTTCATATATTCATGCAGTTATGTAATGAAATGATACATTTTTTTTTTCTTTCATGAGACGAGATCTCACTATGTGAGAACCTTGGCTGACCTGTGACTCCCTGTGTAGACCAGGCCGGCCTTGAATTCACAGTGGTCTACCTGCCTTTGCCTTTAAAGTGCTGGTATTAAAGGTATACACTGTCATCCTGGCTAAAATTTTATATCTTTGAAACTATCTTCACAAACCTAGATGCTGCCAAACATTTTACCAGTGCTTTGGCGGCTACTCTGCATTACGCATGCTTTCACTTAGAAGGCATGTCTGTGCTTTTTAAAAATCCTCTTGATAGTTGCCTTTTTGCCTGTCATTGTGTTGCAAATTAATAATTTTCAATTTAGAATTAGGTTGAAGGTCCTCAGTTGCACAGCAAAATGGATTTTCAAATACACGGAAATTTTCATGGCACTTGTATCAGTATCTGAACATGCTGCCGGGACTGTAGCTGGAGATTAGCAAACGTGTTGGGGGTGGAGTTTTTCAGTATCTGCACATGCTGCCGGGACTGTAGCTGGAGGTCAGCAAGCGTGTTGGGGTGGAGCTTTTACTACTTGTGTTAGCTTTTCTCAGTACAGGAGTGTGTGAAATGGCCTGGCGGTCGGTCCTATGATGCAGCCAGTGTTGCCCGAGGGACTGGGGTGTCACTCACCCTGTCCTTCCCTGTTTAAGTGATCCCTGTACAAGTGCTAAGCCCTTCACATGAGGCACTAGGCTGGACTCGTTGAGAGAACAAGTTTGTTGTAGAAAGTAATTTCTAAACCCATTTAATAGTGAAAAATAGTGACTTTGTTTTATCTATGAAATTTCACTCTCAGACGTGAGCTTAAAAAAAAAAAAGAAATCCAATTTGTCTCTCACAAGCTATTAGTCTACTTCGTTAGGGGCAAGTCAGTGGAAGATGAGCTCACAAAAGTAAAGGAACACTCCTGGTTCACTAAGTTAGGAGAGATTCAGATACAACTCCAGAATAAATGCTAATATAAAGTGAATGGTGCAGGCTTCAAAAATCACTATTATTATTATTTACAAGCTTTGTGGAGTTGGCCAGCTAAGCCCTTTTCTGTTCATACACTGTTGTCACAGGTGTGTAGCAGAGTCTGCCTAATGTTTATATTTAATTAATGCTTCCTCAGCTCCTTTGAGAATATTCTGGCCTGTAGTTCCACAGATGCTTCATAAAAGATAGCTGCTCTTTACTTGCTTCCCATTCTTCCTCGACTTCTGGAGTAAGGAGATGCAAGTGTCAGGAGCATTAATAGCATGAACAGTTAGTAGTAACCTCAACCCATTCATTGAAAGCCAATAATAACCTTTGCAGTTTGCTTGCCTTGCCTTTAAATTATTCTCATGTTGCTGTAGTGCCTTCTCACTGAAAGGCAGTGAAGTTTATTTTCTCTATACCTAACTTCAGCTGCTGCAGTAAAACATGGTGTTTTAAGTCATCATTAGTAAGTAGCTTACTTTACTTGACTTAAGCAATGAGCCCCTTGTAAACCTTTTTTTTTTTTTTTGAGAAACTGCTGTTCTGACATAGTCTGTTTTAAATTGCAGAAAGACTACTGACTTTAAGTTGGAAATATTGTTATGACTGCTTAGTTTGAAAAGGTCAATGTGTATTCTTTCAGGACAAGGTAACTGTAGCACCATTGGAGAAAAGCTCACTGATCTGCCACTAATTTATCACTGTGCTGTGAAATTTAGACATTTAAAGTCCACTTTTCCTTCTTTGACATGATGGGTATACATTGATGTAATGAAAGGTATGTCTCATGTTGGCTCAGTTCCTGTGACACTCTAGAAACTGGAGTTGTATCACTGCTGTTTGTGGTACATGAGCAGCAGCTGGATTTGAGCATATACAGGGTCAGTTTTAGCTGCTAAGGTCTGCCATTACACATGCAGTCAGCCATGGACAACAGGTAAACACTGGGCAAGGCTTTGTGTGTCATAAATTTCATCACACTAAAGTTGAGATTGTACCTACTGTTTTCATTGGTTTAAAACTGAAAACCATTTTTAGCTCACAGGCTATGCAAAAATAGAATCTGGTTTATGGATTTTTTTTTTCCCAACTTGCAGTCTAGAGAAAAAAATACAATTTTGGTAAGAAATTTGTGGGAGGAGAATGAATTTATGAACTGAATTTTGAAGGATAAACATGAATTTATAGAGTTTGAACACACTGTGGTGTATTAAAAAATTGGTGATGAGGCTAGAGAGATGATCAGAGGTTACGAGCACTTGCTTTTCTTCGTGAGAACCCAGGGTCAGTTCACAGCACTCACATCGGGTGCTTCACAGCTGCCTATAACTCCATTCCAGGAATCTGACAACCTCTGACCTCTGAGAACACCTGCACACATGTGGTGCACATAAACTCATGTGAGCACACATACATAAACACAAATTAAAAATACAAATCTTTAAACAAAAATGAAAATTGATGGCCAGACATAAATCTGAAGGAACACAGAAATCATGGTGGGGGAGGCACTGGAAAGCTGTTGTGGGCACAGCCTTCTGAATTGTGGCTCCAGGGGCATTTGATGGTAGCATGAGTGCAGAGGGTGCAGAACTACAGGCCATATTAAGAGTGTTTTCTCTGAACTTACTTAGACATTGATTTTTCCCATTTACCTGGTGCTGTTGAGATGGCTCTGTACACTTCCTTCAGCTGATGGTCTTTTATGAGAGATCTTGCATGTTCATGGGTCTACAGAGTGTATTTCAAGTACATGTATTTTATTCATCATAAATCTGTTACTTTAAAGAACTCAAAGAATTATTCTTTTTGCTTAGAAAAATTTCTTATATTTTGACTATTCTATTTTTGTGATGATAACAAAAATTACTGTTTTTTACAGACATCCTATGCTCAGCTCCTTGCAGCAACATGTCTTTCAAAACTTGTTACCCGAATGAATCCTTTACCTGTAGAACAGAGGATAGACATCAGTAAGTGATTCATTAATTTTTTAACAAATTATATTTTAAAAATAAAAATTTCCTTTTAAATTTGCTGAGTTTTTATTAGGCTTGTAATTTAGCTTTATTATTATTTTAGGATGGATAATTAAGCCATCTTCATGCAATGATGATGACATGATAGATAAGGCAATATGTAATTATAAAATTTTGTTAGTTTAATAATTGTATCTTGTATATGTGGTATTTGTTAAGATTTTCACCATCATATTTTATCCTCCAAATAAATTGATGAGTTATCCTCATTTTACAAATGAGTAAATTGGAGATGATGGGTTCTGACCAGCTCAGGATCACATAACTGGGAAGAGAGTTGTCATTCAAATTCCCTAAATCTGCATAGAGTCTATGCTCTTAATTGATAGGCAACTGAATGCCCAGAAAGAAACCAGCTCTGCAATATTGCTCAGGTTGCTACACCAGCATCAGTTTGGATACATTTAAAACCAACAGTTGATTCCTACTTATAGTCAGAACAGGATTGATACTATAGAGTAGCTCTTTATATGTTTTGGGAGCAATACACTTTACATTTTTATATATGTGTAAGTTTGTATTTCATGTGGACAAACCTAATAATTGGGGTACGAGATTACTTTTTCTTTGTAATAGAAACAAATTATTGTCTCATTTCTGTTCTTCAGACTCAGTTAATATTATTTATATTTCTATATTAGAAAAATGAAGATATCTGATGTGTTATGAATCTTTAAGATCAAAATTCACTAGTCAGAACCATGCAGTGATATAGTTGGCCTTGTTTCCTAACAGTCTTCAGAAAGTTCTTCAGTCTGCAGAAAGTGCTACACTTAAGAGAGCAAGAGATACATTTGCATCTTAAAAAACAGTGGTTCAAACAGTGTAAGCCTGAGTCATGAAATTTAGAACATGTTTTAATTAGACTGAATTTTTTAGAGAACTTCTGGGTTCTTAGCAAAACTGAACAGAAACTAGAGTGCCCTCATACTCCCTGCTTCCCCTCGTGGGCAGCCCCCGGTTACCAACATCAGTGTAGTGTGTTCATACAGTGGCATGTGTCTGCTGTTGGAATAGTGTACAGCAGCTGTACCCACCCTAAATCCTGTGCTCTGCCAGGTCTTCCCTCCTGACCTCAACTCCCGGGTCTGACCAGCCTCCATTGACTCCCTTTTCCAGATTAGCATGTTGTGAGAAGCATGTAGTATGTAGCTTTCTCAGATTTCCTTCTTCCATTCATAACAGTAATGTGTGCTTAAGGTTCTTCATGTCTTCTCATGACAACTCAATAATCTCATTTCTCTTTAGTTATGAATAATAATTCTTCGTTGTCTGAATGTATCTAAGTAATGGTCATTTCTAAGTTTTGAGAAATTGTGAGTAAAGTTGCTCTAGACAGCCATAAGCAGGTGTACATGGTGGCTTATAATCCTAAAACATGGGAGACTGAGGTAGGAGGTTCCCACATTTGAGGCCAGCCTTGGCTAAATTGTGAGTTTAAGGTTACTCTGTGCTACACAGCAAGGCCCTGTTTGGGGCTGGGGTTGGGTGGGAGAGGAGCACACAGAGTAAATGAAACCTGGAGTGATGGAGAGGAGACCTCTTGTGTTGTTCCTGATCTTGGTGGGAAGCTTTTTTAAATTTCTCATCAAACATGATGTCATTGTAGTTGTTATTTTCAGGAGTATTCTAGATCAAGTTGAGAAAGTTTCTCTTTATTCTTGGTTGAGGTTTTTTTTTTTTTCTTCTGAGAGAGGGTTTCTCTGTGTAGCATGACCATCCATGAACTTGCTCTGTAGACCAGGCTGTCCTTGAACTCAGAGATCCGCCTGCTCTGCCTTGTGAGTGTTGGGATTAAAGCCGGGCGGTGGTGGCACCCAGCACTCGGGAGGCAGAGGCAGGTGGATCTCTGTGAGTTCGAGGCCAGTCTGGTCTACAGAGTGAGTTCTGGGACAGGCTCAAAGCTACACAGAGAAACCCTGTCCCGAAAAAAAACCAAACAAACAACAAAAAAAGAAGGGCAACACCACTGCCTGCCTCTGTGTTTTTTTTTTTTTAATCATAAATCGATATTATGTTTGTTAAATACTTTTCTTATATCTATTGATATTATCATATGGTTTTCATTCTGTAGGCTGTTGATGATTTTATATGTTGAGCCAGCCTTGCATACCTAAGATAAATCCTACTTTATCCTGCTCTTTAATTCTTTATACATTGTTGGATTCCGATTGCTGAAATGTTGAGAATTTTTACAACTCTCTTTCAAGAGAGTTAATTGATTTCTAGTTTTGTGTTCTTGTAATGTTTTCATTAAGATAATTTGGGGGGCAGGGGTTGTAGTCAGAGGTGGAATGCTTGCCTAGCATGCATTAGGGCTTGGGGTTCATTCCTGGATATGCAATAAAATAAAATAAATAAAAGAAGATAACTTTTGATTAAAATAAGTTAGGTAGATTTCTCTCTACCCCCCCCCCCCCCCCCGACAGGGTTTCTGTGTAGATTTGCTTGGAGCCTGTCCTGGAACTCACTCTATAAACCAAGGTGGCTTCCAACTCAGAGATCCCTCTGCCTCTGCCTGCTGGAATAAAGGTGTGCACTACCACCCCACCCCCACCCCTGGCTGTTTGCTGCGCTCTCTACTTATATCTGTTGGCAGGTATTTCCTAAATGCTCTAGGTATTCACTGGTAGACTTGTCTGGGTCTGGTGCTTTTGCTTTGGAAGATCATTGTATTATTTACTATTGTGTTCCTATGACCAGAACCATGAGAGGATGACTTAAAAGAAGGTGGCTTCATTTGGCTCATGGTTGCAGGGTCTGCATTTCATGGTTGTTTCGCCCCATGTGCCTCAGCATAGTTGGCAGTGGGGCTGGGGCGGTCTGTCTTTCTTTCTTTGTGGATGGAGAGGGGGCAGAAGGATAATGCCAGCACTCACCTGGCTTTCTTCTCCCAACCCTTTTATTCTGCTAAGGTCTCAAGTCCATAGGATAGTGTTGCCCATATTCATGGTAGTTCTTCCTCCTTTGGCTAATCCTCTCTGGAAACCTTGTTACAAACATATCCAGAGGTGTGTTTCACCAGTCTGAGGTGATTCCAAAGTAAAATTGTCAATTGTACTTAGTAATTACTGAACAGATTTTTTTAATAGTTACAAGCATTCTGATTGTCTATTTGACTTATATTTTAAAAATAGAAACTTTTTTAGAGTAAGGAATGCAGATATTAATTTACAGTGATTTGACTTCTGATTTTTTTTTTGGTTTTTCAAGACAGGGTTTCTCTGTGTAGCTTTGTGCCTTTCCTGGAACTCACTTGGTAGCCCAGGCTGGCCTCGAACTCACAGCGATCCGCCTGGCTCTGCTTCCCAAGTGCTGGGATTAAAGGCGTGCGCCACCACCGCCCGGCTGACTTCTGATTTTTTAAGTAATACTTTGATTCTGTGCAAATGATACTGAAGTATATGAATTCTGACCTTTTCTTGTGTTGGTGACTCGAGGTCCCACACTCTGGTGATACGGACAGTGACAGTAAGCTGTCGGTAGTTTTTGTCATCTATAGGGTCAACAGTTGGTGCTCTGCACTGTGTTACTACACTGTGATGTTTGAAGTTAGATGTAGTAAGTACACTTTCAACTTCCGATGGTTTATTGGGATTTTACTTTATTAAAAGTTGAGCAAGGCTGGGATGTAGTTCAGTTGGTAGAGTTCCTGTCTAGCATACATAGGCTCTATGTTCAGTCACCACCACCGTGCAAACTGGGCATGGTGGTGTAAGGCTGTAATCCCAGGACTTGGAAGGTAGAAAGGCAGGAGAATCAGAAATTCAGAGTCATCCTTGACTGCATAGCAAGTTCAAGGCCAGCCTGGGATACTTGAGATGCGCGCTCTCTCTCTCATACACATGCAAGAAGTCTCACACACATACAAAAAGTGGTGAATGAAGTTTGGAGAGAAAAGAAAGTAGAAATGTATAAGAAAATTTCACATAAGAAATGGTGAGTTTTCTTTTAGTTTCTTTCGTTTGACTAAACTCTTGTTTCTGTCAGATTAGAATTTTTGTCATGATATTTCTAATGGGCATGTATAATAACAGACATGTGAGTTAAAATGAAAAAAAAATGTGTAGCATGGCCTCACTAGTCACATTGCTTTTTCAGATCAATGTAAATCTTCAGTCTTGGAAGATCCACTTCTGGTAACCTCATTATTTTCTCATAAACACCATTGCCAGGTTCTGTGCCCACACGCTATTTTCTACCATTACTAGTGTAACTAACAATGGCTTTCTGTTGATTATTAGTCATATATCATTCGCCTAGCTTAGTACTGAAGTACCTTCATGAGCTTGTCACTGAAGAGCCATCCTTGTTTAGGTGACCTTATAGTTCTATCAGTACCATCCAGTGTCGTGTGTCAGAAGGTTTTCCTCTGACACCAACTTATTTCTGCCTCAGTGCCTGTTCTTATATGGTTTTCCTGGACTGGAATGCTATCCTTTTCTTCTTCAGACAAATATGTAGTTTAGGTTTGCTTGCTCTTAGAAATCAGTCTCCTTTTCTTCCTTTCCTTCTTTCTTCTTTTCAGCTTTCCAAAGCATATGCACATTACATCATAAAACACAGTTCAGTGCTGGCAAAAAGTCACTCAGTTACAAGCCTTTAGTAAAAAGCTTAATTTTAGTAAATTTATGGTTGTATGAACATTCTCTAACATTTGGTGTAGAACATTTTCATCACCCTAGAAAGCTCATTTGGTCACTCTCTACCCTCAACTCCTAATATACTTTCTGCTTCCCATAGATTGACTTCTTTGTAGATGTTTCCTAGAAATCAGATCATAGCATATGTAGTTCTTTTGCAAATATGTGGTACCTCTCACTAAGCAAAATGGGGAGTCTCATCATGTTGTCACATCTTATGTCATTCCTCTTTGTTATGTCCCCTTGTGTATAGATGGCTTCTAAAACATGTTTACTACTAGTTGATGAGTTTATTGGCCATTGGAGTTTCACTTCTTTGTCACCTTAAGCAGTTATACTTGGAACATTCACTTAGGAGCCTTTGAATGGTCCAGTTTTCCCCATTTTTTCTGTGTAAAACATAGGAATGAAGTTGCTCAGTTAAGATATGTTTGTGCAAACTTCTAAGAAGTTCCCCAACTGTTTTTCCACGTGCTTGTAGTCTTACCAGGGTAAAGGTTCTGTTTGTCCTCACCTCCACCTTCTAATTATTTTTCCCTTTTGCGTGTGCATGTGTGCAAGTGCTTTACCCCAGAACCACCCTCTGGCCTCCATAATTCCTGGTCTTTTTGTTCTTGTATTTTCACCCACAGTAGATCCCAAACTCTTCCAGGCAGAGATGATCGCTGATTTCTTTTCCTTCTTTCTTTTCCCCCGAGACAGGGTTTCTCTGTGTAGCCCTGGCTGACCTGGAACTCACTCTGTAGACCAGGCTAGCCTCGAACTCACAGAGATCCGCCTGCCTCTGCCTCCCGAGTGCTGGAATTAAAGGCATGCACCACCACTGCTCGACAGTCGCTCACTTCTTAAGGTGTTGGGTTGGGAGTTGTTTCCACTGAAGCATTTTTAGTTGGGTAGCTTATAGTTGACTTTGCTATGTTAACTCTTTTGTAAGCATTACTTTATTTTCATGCTTTAAAGAAATACTTTGTGGGGGCTGGAGAGATGGCTCAATGGTTAAGAACACTGGCTGTTCTTCTAGAGGACCTGGGTTCAATTCCCAGCACCCACATGGCAGCTCACAACTGTCTATAACTCCAGTTCCTAGGGATCTGACACCTTCACACCAATGCACATAAAATAAAATTAAAAAAAAAAAGAAATACTTTGTGTACCGACTATCAATATCGTAAGCTACTATGTTTTTGAGGCATTTAACTAAGATCAAGTTTTTAAAAAATGGGTATAGACTTTTAGCCTCACAATAAGCATTTGTTTATTTATTTAATTGTTTCAAGCTGCTAAGGATTAAGCACCCTGCCTCCTGCATCTGAGGCAATCACTCTACCACTGAGCCATGTCCCCATCCTGGCCTACTCAGTTCCTGTGTAACATGATGTATGTGTTTCTAAAAGTGACTTGCTACACAATGCTATGTGGGGCTTATGAGACAAAGGAGATTATGAGAACACTTTTGTCAGACAAGTGTTTTATCTTTTTTGACAGAATTCTAAGAAATGTTTGGTAGAGTTGTGCAGATGAAGTGATTTAGAAACACTTGCGAGATACAGCAAATGTTCTTGAAAAGGTGTTTGTAGGACTTATTAAAGTTGCAGTTGTGAGGTCCCATAAAGTGATGATAGGATGGGAAATTTTAGTGCCCCGATAAGGATGGGTGCGGTGGATAACACAGATAATGAAATTCAGTGGTTAGTAGACGTCTGAGGCATATGCATTCTTGTGTTTTATTATACTGTTCTGCTTAGATATTTTTGTGCCACTTTAACAGCTTGGTTTATTTGGCTTGCAGTTGTCTGTATTTACCTCTCAAGTTTTTGCGTGTGACAGCTACAAGTAGGAAAAACAACAGTCATAGCATACTTAAATTACCCCAAGATTTATCAGCGTATAGAGGAATAAGCTGATGTTTTTCCAGTAAATTTTATAGGATCTACTGTATAGTAGGTATGCAGTTTGAAGACAGGGTCAGCTCATTTATCAGAGAGCATGTCATTACCTCCCTTGCCTTTTCTTGACAAGAGTCTCAAGTCCAAGTGGTCACTGCTATTGTCTTTGTAGGAAACTACATTCTGAATTATGTGGCGTCACAACCTAAGCTGGCTCCCTTTGCCATTCAAGCTCTTATTCAAGTCATTGCTAAGCTCACTAAGCTGGGGTGGTTTGAAGTTCAGAAAGACGAATTTGTTTTCAGAGACATTATTGCTGACGTGAAGAAATTCCTTCAGGTAAGAAGGCACTGGTTATCACTGTGTTACAGTGTCAGCACTTGCTTGGTTGTTTAAATTACTGCTTCGAGCCACTTGGCTCTCTTTGTAGTACCATTGCTGTCATTTATTATTTGTCGTTTGGAACCTTTATTATTTATTGTCAGTTAAAAACTACGCTATACCAGAATAATGAAAATAATCATTGTTTCTGAATTTAAAATGTACTATTTATGACATGTTTGTATATACATATACAAGCAACTTAATATATATGTATTATATATATGTTTGTATGTATATAATGCTCTTTTGTTTTTTTTGTGACAGGATTTCTCTGTGTAGCCCTGGCTGTCCTGGAACTCACTCAGTAGACCAGGCTGGCCCCTAATTCGGAGATCCATCTGCCTCTGCCTCTTGAGTGCTGGGATTAAAGGCATGTGCTACCACCACCCGGCTTATGATGCTTATAATAATTACCTAGTTCTCATAAGAGTCCTAAGAAATGGGTTTCATAATACAAATGAAAAAAACCTGTGATTTAGTAAAGCATAACTGGTACTCCAAGTCTTTTTGACAGCTTTTTTTTTTTAATCGCATACCACATCAACTATAATATTTTCCTGAGGAATGTTTTCAAGTGAATCACTAAATCATAGCACATGATGTGAATATAAATAATAGGTAAAGCATACATTTCATACCTGATTTACACCAGTTCAGATATTTAGAGTACAAGAAAGAAAGAACAGAAACTACCAGGAGATTGTTCACTTCCTATTCCACATGGTAATTACAGGTTTTGAGATGATAAAGGAATCAGGAATCTATCCTTGGTTCCTCGTTCCTATTTTTCTCTTTCCTAAAATAATTAAGTATTTAGTGATACATGTTTTTTATACTTGTGTCATTTCTAATCACGGCAGTTAACTTTGGTTGGTGTCAAGTTTAAGAGTTCTTGGGCTGAAGAGATGGTTCAGTGGGTAAAACTGCTTTCTGGGCCAAGTCTGAGGGTTTGAATCTCCAGAACCCATGTAAAAGCTGTAGCCCAAGCCCCTGTGATCCCAGGTGTTTAAAATAAAAAAAAAGGAAGAACAGTTTTCAGAGTGTCAGTTAGTTAGAGAGCCATACTCTGCAACTTTATTGAGCTAATATACACAGAGTAGCCATAATTCAGTGAATAGGAAATTAGGAGGTCCACGAAGAATTAAAATGCATTGTTTGATGCTCCCAGAGTTGGTCTTTGGTGGTTCTGAGATAATATGAACTTAATTATACCTAGAATTCAGTGTTGCTGAGTTTCTGTGCAAGTCAGAGGGATGACCAACTGTGCGATGAAGATGGAGAAAGCACATCTGTGCATACTTTTGTATTACTGCACTCTAATTTGATGCTACATTATTTCCATGCGTTCCAGGATGATTTTGTAATAGGGTAATTTGTTAGTAATGTGCACATGAAGTCTGAATTGAAGGAAGTTTTGGAATTAAATTGGAAGCTAATTAGAAACATCATGGCAACTATACCATATTGATAGTCATATTTACTTTGCTACATTGGATACTCTAGATGTCTTCATTAAGGCACCTAACGACTCCATACACGTGCACTGTTCAGTAATATTAAAAGAGCCTAAGTGATCTTTTCTGATATTAGATCAAGAGATTTAAATTAGTTTCTAAGCTACTTATTAATTATTGAGTGCAGCTATCACAGTAGGCTTCAAGCAAATTTCTAGAACAAAAAACCATTTTCCCCCATTCTTAAGATTGTAGAAAAGGTACAAAATTAAATGTTATTTTGAAGCTTCATTGTTACGAATTGTAAATGTTGGGAAACATTGTATAGAGTGGTATGCTTTTCTAAGGTAGGTATTCATTTTCTCTAACTCCATGTACCAAAATTTGTCCTTCAAAAATGAATTCAAAATTCTTTTAGTTGTAGAAATAACAATACTTTTTAAAAAACATACTTTTAAGGACTATTATTAGGCCAATGTGATGCTTTGTTATTTAATTTTTAAAAGTTAAGAACTAATTATGTTTTCACTTGGTTATTTTTCCAAAGGGTACTGTGGAACACTGCATCATAGGAGTGATAATCCTTTCTGAATTGACTCAGGAGATGAACCTGGTAAGCTTTTCCATGGAATATGTGAGATTTGCTTGGGTAATATTCTTTGGTACTTTTATTTGTTGCAAAATGTATGGTTGTTCTGTGGCATGAAACTCTTCACTAATCTTTTTGTGTATTTGTTTTAATAATTGGGAAATTAAATTAAAATGCTTTCACTGAAAATTACAACCATAGTAAAAAAACACAGAATAAAAATAGTGGGGAATAGGACATAGTACTGGAGAATTGTCTTTTCATTCTCATAGATATAATGTATTAACCATAAAAAATGAATTGTATGGAAAAGAAAAGCAAACTTTTATGTGTTTACAAATAAAGGGCAAGTGGTTTAGAAGATTGACTCATGGGTTAATGGCAGGACTCATCCAGACACAGACCTTGGCACTCAGTCGCTGTCTGACTTGAATTCTTACCAGCATTAAGGAGCATTTTCAGAAGGTACACCTCCCTCACCAGGACTTTTCCAGCCCAGCACCTGAGGAGGCTCTGTCACCTGTTCCTGTTCTCCTTTGCTGTCAGCACAGCTTTCAACAGGACAGAAACAGAAGCTGTGTTCTACATGGGATCACTTTACAGACGGGATTGTAGAGTTTGAATTGAGAAACTGGCATCCTCCTGAGTGCTGGTGTGTGTATGGAATGTGAACATGCACATAAGGAGAGCTAGCGTCTCTCCACTTCCAACTCCCTTTGTAGTCACAGTATTTTAGAATCGCTGTTCAGTGATGAATCAGCAAATTTTGTAGGACTTCCACAGTTTAAAGTAGCGCTCGTTTCTGTGTGTGTCCATCCATTTCGGCTTCCCTCACAGCCTCTGTGGAGATGATCTGCTCTGCCAGGGTTGCTCTCCATTTCAGGAATAGCTGTTTTGTTGGCAGGGATATGATGACTCGATTAATCATAACTGGACTCTGAATGAGTTTAAAGAACTGAAGCTCTCTTTTTAATAATTTAGTAAATAATTTTTATATGTTTTTTTAAATTTACTTTATAAAAATGAGAGACTGGTATAGTAACCATAGGCACCCAGCTTTTATACTTGCTAAACTTAGAACTGATTGATTCATTTCCCACTTTACAACAAGTAGCAATATAGGCAGGCTACCCTGGAAGGGAGGGTTCTGAGATCCTTAGTTCCTTTTAGTTCCTAATTCCTTACTTAGTTACTTCTCAGTAACTGGTAATGTAGATTTTTTTTCTTTTTTTCTGGTGTACTTTTTTTTTTTTTTTTTTTTTCCTGTTTTTCGAGATAGGGTTTCTCTGTGTAGCTCTGGTGCTGGGATTTAAAGGTATGTGCCACCACCGCCTGAATTGGTATACTTTTGAGGCAGGATTTCTTTGTGTAACATCCCTGGCTGTCCTGGAACTCACTCTGTAAACCAGGCTGGCCTCAAACTCACAGAGATCTATCCACCAGCCTCTGTGTCCTGCGCCACTGTGCCCTACTGGTAATGTGGATTCTAATAAAAGTGTATCTTGGAGAGCAACTAAGTATCTTTTAAAATACACAAACAAACTTTCAGTAATGTTTGGCCGGCAGGAGAAAGTTCTTTCTTGACCACTTGATGATAAGTTGACAATATGATGCCCTCCCCCCACATTCCTGCAGCCTAGGGAATGCTTTACATTTCTTTCCAAAAGGACATTCTTTCTTCTACATGGTCATGATAGCCCATTGGATTTTTTAAGAGTGAACTGAGAGCTGTTAGTTCTGTTTCTTTAGTTAGTCCCAGCATGTCCTTAGATCAGATGCCTGCTCAGAGTCATGCTTCTCACATTGTATTAGTATTCTTCAGTCTGGGAGAATTAGTTAATCTTCTCTCCACTTTACAACCTGTTTTAGTTAGGGTTGTGTCGCTGTGATGAAGCACCATGACCAAAAGCAGCTTGGAAAAAAGGGTTTATTTTACTCACAGTTCCATATAACAGTTTATCATCAAATGCAGCACGGGCAGGAACTCAAGCCGAGGAGGAACCTGGAGGCAGGAGCTGATACAGAGGCCCTGGATGGGTGCTACTTACTGGCTAACTCCTCATGGCTTGTTCAACTTGCTTTTTTTATGGAACCCAGGACCACCAGCCCAGGGACAGTACTTATCACAATGGCCTGGGCCCTCCCTCATCAATCACTAATTAGAAAATGCCTTACAGTCAGATCTTATGGAGGCATTTTCTCAATTTAAGGTTCTCTCATTTCAGATAACTCTAGTTTGTGTCAGGTTGACATAAAACTATCCAGCATACAACCTGAAACGTGAAGAGTACAAACTAGTTGTTTTGTAAAACATAGTTTAAGATTGTCCAGTGTTTCGTCATTATTAAATTCAGATTGCATTTATTTATCAGGAGTATCGTGAATGATGCTATGGCCTTATTGTCTCTTGCCAGGAAGCATATGGTTTGAGTTGTCTAATAATGGATGATGGCTCACTTTAATTTCTTAATTAAACATGTTCACTACCCAGCTTCCTTATACTTTTTGTAATTTGTAAATATTTTGTGGAGAGGTACTTTACACCTCTGAAAACACCCTATTTCTCACCAAGCTTAAGTTGTTAATATAGATTCCTAATTCTTTTTAATAGATTATAATTCACCAGTAAGAAATCTTTCAAGTTGGCTTTAGCATCCATTTAACATTTCTACCATTCTTTGAAATTTTTTTTTTTAAGACAGGCTTTCTCTGTGCAGCCCTGGCTGTCCTGGAACTCGCTCTATAGTCAACGTTGGCCTCAAACTCAGAGATCCACTTGCCTCTGAGTACTGGGATTAAAGATGTTCACCTAGCTTTTTTTTTTTTTTTTTTTTTTTGAGATGGTTTCATGTAGCTCAGGCTGACCTCACATTTGCTTTGTAGCAGGGAATGACCTTGAACTTTTGATCTTTCTTCCTCCCCTTGCAAGTACTGGGCTTTTTGGAGTATTCCACTGTACTTGCCCTCTTTTGTTCCTCTGGTACAAGCTGTTCCAGGTTCTCCACATACAATAAAGCCAGGCTCCTTTTTAGCAGAGTGCCACTCCAGACACCGTAGCACATGCTGTGGTCCTAAAGCTGGGAGGCTGAGGCAGTATCCCCAGATCAACACTACCTCCCTCCAAGCGTTTAAGTGTGAAGTTTGGCTTTATAAGTTGAAAAAACATATTTTCTATGGAGAAAAACTATACTGAGCTTAATTTTGGGGTGGGGGAGTCATTTTCCATTTCAACCAGCATTTCTGGGGGTGGTTAGATTCACGTGAGGAAAGTCCAGTGTTACAAAATGGTCAGAAGTGTCCTGAATAAATCAGTGTGGTGATTGGTTGGATCTTTTTTCTTCCTTGTTTTTGGTGGTAGGGGAGACGGGGGCTTCACAGTGTAGTAGCCCCGGCTGACCTGGAACTCACTGTATAGATAGACCAGACTGGCCTTGAACTTAAAGAGCTATACCTGCCTGTGCCTCCTGAGTGCTGGGATTAAAGGAATGCACCACCACATCCTGTCCAAGTATGGTTGTATTTTTTGAGAAAAACATGTAAACTTGATTTTCCTAAAAGTTGAAAGAGGATTGTAAACATTATCCCACATTTTTAGGAGCCAAATCTGTTGTTCCTTGATCATATTTGTTATATAGTCATCAAAGTGAAATACATATGTCTCTATAATAGGGGCATACATATACAATATGAGATACCTACGCCTATATAGTAAGGGTATGTGTGTGCAATATCAGATACATATGCCCGTATATTAGGGGCATACATGTGCAGAGTGAAATGGTTGTGCAGTCTCTCTCAAAACACAGCATCTACGCGAGTACCCTGCTTGGAGTAAGCGTGCAAGCCTGGAGGAAAGCACCCGTGAAGGCAGGTTTGTCTAGATCTGTGACCAATTGCTTCGTACAAACTTCTTTTTTTTTTTCAGAGTTGAGAGTTTCTTACAATATGTTTTGATCATGTTCATTCTTCTTCCTTCAGCTCTCCACACCTTTAATCCTAGCCCTTGAGAGGCAGAGGCAGGTGGATCTCTGAGTTCGAGGCCAGCCTGGTCTACAGAGCGAGTTTCTAGGGCTACTTAGAAAATCCCTGTCTCAAAAAACAAACAAACAAAAAAAAAAAAACGGCAACAACAAAAGGGCAGATAAGCTGTTGGCATAGCACTTGGTGTGTGGAAGGCACTCCATACACCTAAGTTCCTTCTGTTCGTGTTCTGGTTGTGGTAAAGGACAATGTGCATTTTAAAGTGGAATAATACGTTAAGAATCCTTTCTAAACAGGACTTGTGATGCTGTCTTCTCTTACTGATTTTATGGAAAGATTTTGATGTTATAGTTTTTAGCATGTGAGAAGAACTTTGAAGTGTCTGATGTAGTAAAAGAAGGCTGGGGAGATGACTGAGCAGGTCAAGCGCTTGGCATGCAAACGTGAACACCAGTTTGCATCCTCAGAACTCGTGTCAGGACTTCCCAGGTGTGGCAGTCTGCCTGTAATTCCAGTGCATGGATGCAGAAACAAGAACCCCCCTGAGCTAGCTGGCTAGCTAGATGAGCCAAAATGGTGTACTCCAGATTCATCAGGAGACCACACCATACGTACATGCACACCATACAGACAAACACACAAAGAGAGTTTGATTTAGAGCAGAATGCTGCAAATGCTAATTAATTCCAATCACACATTGTCTATATCTTTCAGTAACTACTTTCTGTAGTACCTCTGGACATTTATGTTTACTATTTTATAAGTAAATATAGCATTTAGGGATAGTCTGAATTGTACTCTGGAGTTTAGGAAGTATCAGATAATCAGTTCTTAGCTCACTTTTTAAAAAGTTCTTTAAACAGTAGCAGGACAAATTATTTCTTTCTGTCTTCCAATAGCAAAAGAGATAAATAGTAAATCTACAATAACTTTAGGCCACAGTGTTAATGATCATTGAGCTGTCAGAACTCATATTGTTCGTTTCCTGCTGATAATGGAAATATATAGTATATATGTTTTTTATATATATATTTGTTGGGGGACAGGCGACAGTGCTGGAGATGTGCTAAGCATTTCCAGCACTAATACCACTGTGTAAAACCATTTTTACATTTTAGTTTAGGGACCCAAGAGCTAGTCTTAGTAATTTACTAATTTCTATTAGCTAATAAGATATTCAGAGATGACATGTTTTGTACATAATCAAATTCTTGAGTATCATTTCTGCCTTTTTCAGAATTCCAGTGGCATAAATCAATGACATATGAAAATGCTTTCATATAAATTTTTTCTGTAACTGATTCATTTAGCTGGTTTACATATTAGAATTTGAAGAGTGTTTTAGAGGTTTCTCCTTTTGTAGGTAGCATTTGAGAGTTAAGGAAATTATTTACATTATATACACTATAAGGCAGAGTTCAAAAGCCCAATCTCAAGTGTCTGTTACTTTTATTATCTGTATTATTATTTCAGCACTGAAAGTATGATGGACAGTCAGATAGTTTTGGGGTGGGTTCTAACCCTGTCTCTGTTAGTGAGTAATCTCAAGATTCCTTTGAAATCTTTTTCAAGCTCTGTATTTATGATTCTTTGATTACTAGTACCATTATGTTACATAGTAAATGTTTACCTTATTTTTCTATAGGTTGGTTAAGCTAATTCATCTTGACCTTTTTAGGTTGATTATTCCAGACCTTCAGCAAAACACAGGAAAGTAGCTACCTCATTTCGTGATACTTCTCTGAAAGACATTCTAGTGTTAGCATGTTCACTCCTGAAGCAGGTAAGTCAGTTGGTAACTCAGCTTCCTAGATAGAGTACTATGGGAATCTTAATTTCGAATTAAATGCTTTGTGTAACTGGAGTTTTCCTGTGTCCACCCGGCTCCTGCAGCTCCTCAGAGACTTATATTACTTATAAACTGTATACCGTGGCAGGCTTCTTGCTATCTAGTTCTTACATCTTAAATTAACCCATTTTTATAAATCTGTACCTTGCCACGTGGCTCGTGGCTTACTGATATCCTTACATCTTGCTTCTCATGGCACTGCGGCTGACAGTGTCTCCTGACTCAGCCTTCCACTTCCCAGCATTCTCCTCTCCGTTTATCTCACCTATACTATACTTCCTGCCTGGCTACTGACCAATCAGCATTTTATTTGTCAGTCAATCAGAGCAACACATTCACAGCATACAGAAAGACATCCCCAGAAGCTTTGAATGAATTTTAAGTGGACTATTTCTTTCTGAGTTTGCCTTTAAAAGACTTGTTGTGGTCAGTCTTAAATATAGTAAATCTATATAAATTTTATTCCCCAGGCATGGAAGGTGAAATCCATGGAGAATTCAGTTTTTGTGTTTAAGCAATAGTACTTTTTAAACCTTCCTACTATAGATTTTTAATTGTACAGGCTCATTGAGTTTTAATAATTTCTTTTCTTTTTTTTTGTTTTTTTTGTTTTTTGTTTTTTTGTTTTTTTCAAGATAGGGTTTCTCTGTGTAGTTTTGGTTCCTGTCCTGGATCTCGCTCTGTAGACCAGGCTGGCCTTGAACTCACAGAATCCTCCTGGCTCTGCTTCCCAAGTGCTGGGATTATAGGCTTGTGCCACCACTGCCTGGCAGTTTTGATTTATCTGCCTGCCCATGTTTTGATGGAGATATAATTTTCCATTTTTTCATAATTTTCCCAGAATTAATTTAATAGTTCCTTTGGGAAATAGGAATTTCCTACTTGTTTCTTAGTGCACAGTGGAGCATGCATAACTTTTATAATTATATTAGGCTCTGTTGTATAACGAAGGATTCCATCATAGTACTCAAGCTTGTTTATTTATGTTGTAAAGCATTTTCCAGAACACCTCATAAGCTCTGTTTCCCGTTCAGTTCTCTGTTATAAATATTGAGGACCAGAAGTGTTTCAGATTTTGGAGTGTTTTGAATTTTAGGATATTTATATAGACTTTACCATTTAAAAATTTTCACAATCTGAAATTTGAAATTTACCAAAATTCAAACCTTGAGTGCTCAAGAAGTTTTAGATTTTCAGGTTATTTCAGATTTTAATTTTTGGATTAGAATTGTTGACTTGTATGTTAGCATTGATAATCACTGTAGTGGGTCTGATTTAATGGCTATTATTTTTAAAATATTCCTGTGGTGTGGAAAAATATCATTTATAAAGGTAAATAAAATAGTATAATTAATGGTCTTGAACTCATCAACTACCTTAGTAATGACTCATGGTTAATCTTGTTTCATGTATATTCTATTCTCCCTATCTGATTTCTCTTTGTATTATTCTTGGAGAAGTCTAGACTGCTCTACAAATACTTTATAAGGACCAGGATGTACTTTTCAAAAGGCTGTATGAGAATGGACCTTACAAAAGACATCAGGATTGGACTCCAGAAGCTGGTGTCCTATACCAAACTAGGACACATCCTATACCTAACATTCACATGGCCTTTGTTAGTTGAGTGCCTCTCTTTTACATAAGAAGTTATCCTAGATTTTCTTGAAGAAAATTAAGTCTCAGCACTGTTTAAGCTAGTGAATTCTATGCTTTCTTTGTACAGTTGTGCCATATAAAGTATTTGTTTTAAAACCTCATTAAATTTTTTTTCTTTTGAGACAGGGAATTACTATGTAGCCCTGGCTCTCACCTGAACTCACCATGTACACCAGGCTAGCCTTGAACTCAACAGAATCCTGCCTGCCTCTGCCTGTACATACTGGGATTAAAAGTGTGTGCCACTATACCTGGCCTAGGTTTCCTCTTAGAAGTTTAGAAGGCGATCTGCAATATGTAGTTAAGTATATTTCTTTTCTCATTTTACAAGGTGAAATTTGAATGTAGTTTACTATTGTAGAAATTTGTGGACAAAGATTTTTCCTATTTTTTTAAACTAATTTTCATTTCGCCTTGTAAATTTATGAAGTTGAAATTCACTTAGTCATAATGTTTTATTTCTAATTTTGAAGGTGTTGGCCAAACCTTTAAATCTTCAGGATCAAGATCAACAAAATCTGGTGATGCAAGTCTTAAAACTGGTCCTCAGTTGCCTGAGTTTTGATTTCATTGGAAGTTCAGCTGACGAATCCGCAGATGATCTTTGCTCAGTGCAGATTCCAACAACCTGGAGAACAAGTAAGAAGAGAGAAGTGTGTAACATGAGAGATGCTCAGAATACATGGTGCAGAATTAAGCAGCACAATTGACCTGATCATATGTTGTTAGCTCTGTGCTTGTGAAGTTGCCTAATAGCTACATGGGAGGATTGTAATTCAGAATAGCTGCTAAAACTCAATATTGAAATGCTTTGTCTAGTTCATAACTGCTGTATTTTGATTTAAACAGTGGAAAATAAACTTGTGGGGAAATATTAAGATTTTTTGTTTGGAAACTTCCATGTAAGTAGGAAGGATCTAACAGTTATCCAGAGGTATTTTTCAGAATGAAAGGTGAATAAATCAGAGTAGGTGACTGAGCAGAGCAGAGTTGTGACAGGTGCAATGCCCGGAACAAATCAAGGTCTCCCTCATCGTGCAGACAGTATCACTATCAGTATCAGGGCAGAGGCTGGGAGGCTTGGAGAGCCTTTGTGAAGGAAGCTTTATTTCTAGTTGGATCCTTCCCACCTGTGCAGCAGGGAGACTGACCGCCTTTGCCTCTGGAGTTGAACCTCTCCTTCCCTTAGCTATTTTGCTTGAAAAGTTAAACTAGAAAATCTTCAGATTTGGGGATATCAGATAGAGGATCAACATATAAAGTTTTTTTTTTTTTTAATGACTTCCAATTTAGGAATCAAAGATTAATAAACAAGAGATTTAACATTCCACATCTTGGTTTCAGTGTTGAATTCATAAACTAGCATGTGTAATAAAAATGTACAGACTAAAAATACGTATGCACATAAAACTGGACTCAATATGATTGGGAGGTTGTGTTGGGCTCCTTGGCTGTGGTGTTGTAGTGTCAGTTTTTACAAGAGTCCACCAGTATGGGAAAGCAGGTAAAATGGGGCATAGGTTGTACTCAATATGATTGGGAGGTTGTGTTGGGCTCCTTGGCTGTGGTGTTGTAGTGTCAGTTTTTACAAGAGTCCACCAGTATGGGAAAGCAGGTAAAATATGGCATAGGTCTGTATTACATGTGTGAATCTATGAGTCAGTATCTTAGAAAGTTTAACTTTTTACAAAGTTGGAGAACTAATATACAAGATGAAGAATAGAAATAAACTTTAAGAGGGTATGATTAATATCTCTAGAGATATAAAAAAGGTAAAGCATTCCTGAGACAAGAATGAACATTTGCCACATAATTTAAAAATTTAATAAACAACTAAAGAGAAAGTTAATGAAATTTACTAAGTCAAATAAAAAGGAAGATGTTTTGATAGGAGAAAAAAATGTCTATAAGGAAATGAGAAGGTGAAACCAGGAGGTTGGGATTTGACTATTGGAAGTTCTAGAAAGAGAGAATGGGGAAAAACAGAAGGAAATTTGAAAACCTAGAAATGTTTTCAGCATTAAAGGACAAGTTTATGAATTGAAAGTTGTACCAAGTATCCAGAATGATGAGTGAAAAGATAGGCACTAGGCTTCATATTCATGATGTCCCAGAAAAAAGGCTTGTTGTGCATGAGAAAGAAAATTAAGTCACCGCTGGCCGGTGGTGGTGCACACCTTTAATCCTGACACTCAGTAGGCAGAGGCAGGCAGATGTCTGAGGCCAGCTTAGTTTATAAAGCAAGTTCCAGGACAGCCAGGGCCACACAGAGAAACCTTGTCTTGAAAAGTCAAGAGTAAATTAAAGGGAAAAAAAGCCCAGCTGCAGCAAGTGGCCATACCATATATATATAGAGAGAGGTCTTGACATTCTTACTTGTGTGGTGTTTTAATCCAGGTATTGGTGTTAGAAAAAATCATTTTTTCCCCCCCAGTTTTCCTGGAACCAGAAACATTGGAACTTTTCTTCAATTTGTATCACTCGCTTCCACCACTACTGTCTCAGTTAGTAAGTACAAGTCATTCCTTATTTCTTAAAGATTAAAATACTCATGATGGTTTGTTGTTGTTTTGTACTACTGGGGAATTGAACCTACGAAACCACATGTAAGCAGGTTGCATGTCCAGATTCTGTTTTGTTTTTTGAACAGGGTCATCCCGTGTAGCCCATGCTGCCTTCAAACTTGTCTTCTATCCTCAGCCTCCTCAATGCCAATCCCAGCCTTGTACCTGTGATTCTTTTCTGATCTGAAGTGTTAGGGTAATGTATATTCACTTGAACAATTCTTATGCACTTAATTGAGTTACGTTTCTCCAGTAGTTCTTTCATTTCTGAATGTATGTTATATTCTTGGAATTTGTTAACTGTGGTGGTATTTTGTTCCCCAAAATATTGTGCACCCTAATAAACTTATCTGGGGTCAGAGACAGAACAGCCACAATATCAAACATAGAAGTTAGGCAGTGGTAGCACACACCTTTAATCCTAGCATCCCAGAGGCAGAAATCTATGTGTTCAAGGATACAGCCAAGCATGGTGACACACGCCTTTAATCCCAAGAAGTGAGCCTTTAATTCCAGGGAGTGATGGCAGAAAGGAAAGATATATAAGGCGTGGAGACCAGGAACTAGAAACATTTTGACTGGTTAAGCATTCAGGCTTTCGAGCAGCAGTTCAGCTGAGATTCATTCTGGATGAGGGAGGACTCAGAGGCCTCCAGTCTGAGGAAACAGGGTCAGCTGAGGAACTGGTGAGGTGAGGTGGCTGTGGCCTGTTCTGTCTCTCTGATCGTCTAGCGTTCACCCCAATAACTGGCTCCAGGTTTGATTTTAGTAATAAGAACTTTTAAGATTCCTGCTACAGTTAACAGTCCATTCTGCTTTGTGATTAAGCTCAGAACCAGTAACTCATCTTGTTCCTGCCACAGCCAAGACAGTCTTCCAACTTCGACCTGTATCTCACTCCCTGATCTGTACTCACCTCACTCAAGTCCACCACCACTAGGACCTTACTTTTAACCTTCTCTAACTCTTCTTCAACCTGATTGGCTGCATGTCTTAGGTTTGATGGGCAGTCTCCATCAGAAGTCTCTGACAGAGAAACAAAGGTGATCCACTCACTTGATTTTGTGCTCATCACTCTTGCATGCTCAACTTTATTTTGAAATTCTCTTCATTACATAGAATTTCGAGACTATGAGCACCATCTTTGTTGAATCTTAACATCTAACAATGTTGGAAAAAATGTAAGTTTATTAAAAAAAAGTTACTAGAAATTGGAGAATTGTGTCTGTGGAAAAGTGTTCAAGATTTAAAGTGTATTTATTTAAATATCACGTAAAAGGAAGACTGTATTGCCAAGTGCTCTACTATTGAGCTCCATCTCTAACCTAACAAATCTGTTCTTGAATCTCTAGTTTAAGGTTTTAGTCTGAGTTTCATAGGGTGCTTATCTGCGGCTGTGCTTCATCCTTTCGTCTTTCAACCAGGAAAATTGCTTGCTAGGTTAACCTGAAAATCAGAAAACAGACCCAGAGTGGCTAATTGACTTTCTCCAGGGCAGCAGAAGAGATACTGGCATTGAGATTAAAGCTCAGGTTTTTTTCTCAAACTATGCACTGGTGTTTGCTCTTACGACACTGATGGTTCCCAGCGATGTACATCAAGGTTGCCTAAGGAGGAAGGTTTTTTTGAGAACAATAGAGCAGTGGGAAACTAGACCATGGCCCAAACAGAAAGGTTCAGTGTTTGTGCTTATTCTCACCCTTATCACGAGAGCCAGGCATTTTGTATGAAATCTCCTATTAGAAATATTTTAATATTGGCAGCTAATGGTAATTTTTTTAAGTGGACAAGTAAATATGTGAACCCAGATAAAACATGCAGAGACCAGTTTGTCCTTTAAGTTAATATGAGGACAGACTGCAGTAAGTGCTGTTGGATTTAGGAACCTAAGTAATGAAATGGCCTGGAAACTTAGGAAGATAACTAGGCCACAGATAACTCCTTCGGAACTTTGAGAAGTTACTAACTCTTCTAGCAACATTTTTCAACCCTGTAAGATACTCATGAATGGTGAAGGATATAATTCATAACCAAATAAATTTGTTATATGCCTGTTAAGGATTTTTTCTCCTTTACAGGATCCATAATATATAATTTATAATACTCTGTAACTTAATTTTACTTCAAGATCATTTGTTGCTGATAGAACACCTAGTTCATTGGTTCACAGACAGAATGGGTATCTTAAGCAGTTGGGAACCTTCTGAATGTATCCAAGTGTAGTGCCTGTTTTGGCAGATTTGGCATATAAAAAATACAAGAGAGGATATAGATTATGTCTCACAAAATCAGAATGAGGAATCCAGGTATCCAGCAAGAGGAAGAAGGGGGATACACATAAGAACACTGGTATATTGACATCTCCCTCCATGAGAATGACATAATGAAACCAACCCTCCTTTTTCTCTTTAAAATTTCTTTTGTGTCTATGTGGAGTGCATGCTTGTGTGCACATGTGTGTGTGTCTGTGCAACCATGGTCCAGCATGTGGAAGCCAGAACAGGATGTTAATTGTCTTTCTCCATAGCTGTTAATCTTAGTCCCTTGGGGCAGGATCCTGAACCTGAAACTCTCCTCTTTTGGCTAGAATGGCTGGCCAGCAAGCTGCTGGGGTCTGTCTGTCTTCTAACACTGATGTTAAGGCATGTGTGGCTATGTCCAGCTTCGTAGTCAGGTGTTCATGAAAGTGCTGTCACCCACAGAGCCATCTTCCCAGCTCATGAGGCCCCTTCCTTTGTAAAATTCAAATAAAAAACAAAACCAAAAATGTCGGTTTTAAAGTCAGAGGAAAATGCAGTCTCCAAGCAGAGGAGACTGAGGAGAGATTTTAGAAATAACTGGAGGAATACCTACAAGTGCTATTTTAGTATGCAGCAGAGGCTTGTGAGTGGTGTTAGTGGATCTAGCTACATTTAAAATTGAACTGAAAAAAAGAATATTTCTTGTTTTTTAGGCACTTTCATGCTTAGTTCAGTTTGCTTCTACAAGAAGATCCTTATTTAGCAGTCCTGAACGTGCCAAGTACCTTGGTAACTTAATTAAAGGAGTGAAAAGGATACTTGAAAACCCCCAGGTATTTATGAATTAATTTAATTAATATTTAGCATATAGAAATTGTATTTTTGCTCATTGGTACATAATAAATTTTTTAATTTAATTTATTGTGTTTCTGGAAGAAAATAGTATTGTATTCATTGTCCAGAGGTCTCATTTGCTATTGTTTTTAAAAAATAGAATACTTTCAATGTAGACTTGATGTCCTCCCCCTCCTCCTTCCCCCCTCCCTCCTCTCTTTCTCTCTCTCTCTCTCTCTCTCTCTCTCTCTCTCTCTCTCTCTCTCTCTCTCTCGTTTGAAGTGAATTGAATAAGGGTCATGTATTGTTATCATTGTACTTTATTTCTTTGCTTGTACTAGTTAAACTGCTAAAGTGATTGAGGATTATGTCTGCTTTTTGATGTTAATATTGAAGTGAGTTGCCTTCAATTATGAAATAGTGTTTTTTGCCCTCTTGTGGACACTCAATTTGTAGCTTTAGAAATAGACTGCATTAGCTCTAGAGCTTTGGTGTCAGCACACACTTGCAGAGATGTTTGTGAGGGGTTTGGAGTGTCTAACAAGTAATTATATTACTTTTAATTTGGTTTTTCTGGCTTAAAGCATTTGTAATTAAACCACAGACAGTAAAAGCATTAAGTGGTAGCTTACAGAGCTTTATCTATGCTTCTTGGTTACTGGCAATTTGGGGAGCATCAGATATCTTTGTATAGAAATAAGTATTGTCATTTTATAGAGGCATTTGTTTTTTGTTGTTTTTTTCCAGTTATTGAAGAGATTTTATTTGTTTGTTTGTTTTTGGTTTTTTGAGACAGAATTTCTCTGTGTAGCCCTGGCTGTCTTGGATCTCACTCTGTAGACCAGGCTGGCCTCAAACTCACAGAGATCCGCCTGCCTCTGCTTCTCGAGTGCTGGGGTCAAAGGGCTGCACCACCAAGCCCTGTGAGATTTTTTTTTTTTAATTTTAAGTTTTTACAACATTTTTTATTTAACAGTTTCATTTGTGTATATAACATATCTTGATCATGTGCAAACCAAGCACCCATGCCCATATCTTCTACACCCCAGACTTCCCAGGTAGAATAGCTATAATAGATACAGTTGTTTCTATCTTTTCAATGTTAGTTCAGGTCTCGTATCTACTCTTTTTGCTGATAGGTGGGATTTTACTTTAAAATCATAAGTTATCTGTGCAACTTACTGTCATGAGCTGTATTATGGGAGATAGTTGGCCAATGTCAGCTATCTCTCCTAAGCTAATTTCCTTCTCACTGTAAAAGTCAATCTGGAGTTTTGGTATACAATGGTATATTTAATACACAAGTGTGTAGTAAAAGACCTTGTTGTAAGATGTATTTTTGGAATTTGTCCTAGATAATAGATACTGTTTTTCTTTCCTAGAGCTCCCATTAGTAAAAGTCCTTAGATTTTTTTAAGTATTAGTATTGAAGCAATTCATTTTTAAATTTGATTATATTCCAGCTACACTGCAAAATGTTTAAATATAGAGGTAACATTTGTCCTGTAGTCAAGCCACTCACAGTTGCCTGGAAAGGCCTTTTTTGGTCTATTCCTTTAACTTTCCTTCGGAAAGTCCCCTGCATGCCATGGAGGGGTTTTGTTAAACTTGGTTCCTTTGCGGTAATTTGAATGCCTTATCATTTAGAGGCAGGAAGTTAACTTGGAGCCATAGAATCTATAGATATGGAATAAGTGTTGAATTCAAAGAATTGTCTGTGATTTGTGCACTTACATAGTACACACACGCACACCCTACATCACCTAGGCTTTTCGTGTCGTAAGTTCCCAAACATTAGTCATCTTGGTGTGGTGCTGCTTCTACAAACTCTTCTTTAGATCCCTTACTGTTACTGGACACCGACACTGCACTGAGCAGGCCTCACTCATTTTCTGATCCTGTTATCTACCCACCTGCCACAAAGTCAGTACCCGTGAAAACCAGGGGAATTAATACAAATACTTGGGGAAAATACAGTTTCTTTAAGGGCCTTTCTTTTGTATCTTCATTTAGGGATTGTCTGATCCTGGTAATTATCATGAATTTTGTCGATTTTTGGCTCGTTTAAAGACAAACTATCAGCTGGGAGAATTAGTTTTGGTGAAGGAGTATGCTGAAGTTATCGGATTGATTGCTAATTTTACTATTACTAGCCTACAGGTAAGTACAAAGGTGTAATTGAGCTTAAACTATAATTTTAAACCAATTTTCTTGGTAAAGGTTTGGTAGAGGTGGTTTCTTTTTAAATACTTGAGTACTTGAGAATTATTCTTTACAAAGTTTTTAGGTAAAATAGTCATTGCGACACATAAAATAATAAAAATTGGTATTCTGCTTAATGTCTAGTAATTGAAGAGTGATGAGAATCTGTAGTTAAATCTATGTAAAGAAACAAGAGATTATGGGAAAATTATAGATTGTATTATGGGAAAATTTCTTTGTAAGTTGTTGGGAAGCTTTGTTTCCACTTGATTTCAGCTCTTGCAAAATATTTATGGAATAGATTCTAAGGAAATGTGGTAATATTTTAGTAGTCATTATTGTAAGTGGCATAGTGAGAGATATTAGTTTTTGAATACTTCTTGATTCATAAAATTTGTGTGGTCCTTAGTTATATAATCAGAATAAAAGTTAATTTTATCAGGGCTGGGAATGTAGCTCAGCTGATAGAATGCTTTCTTAACACTCACAAAGCTCCAGGTTCTAGCCCTAGCACCATGTCACCTGGGTATGGTAGTGTATGCCTGTAGTAGCAGCTCTCAGGGTGTGGAGACAGGAGAATCAGAAGTTAAAGTCCTTCTCAGGTACATAAGGAATTCAAGGCTAGCCTAGGTTACACCAGGCCCCTGTTCAAAACAAACCAAAAACCACAAACTAAAACAAGAACAACAAAAAGCCAGTTAATTTTATCTGTAGTAATTTTGCTCTATGACTTTTAGTCTAGAAAGCTATAATGTCATTTAAAATAACAATTTGCTGTATTTCTTTGTAGCATTGGGAGTTTGCCCCCAACAGCATTCATTACTTATTAACTCTGTGGCAGAGGATGGTAGCATCTGTTCCTTTTGTGAAGTCAGCTGAACCCCACTTGTTAGACACTTACGCACCTGAAATCACCAAGGCCTTTATCACTTCCCGATTGGAATCTGTTGCCATTGTTGTGAGGTATTAAAATATTAAATGTTTTATTTTTAATCTGTCTTGGAATTTTTAAAGATTGAAGTGAAAACTTCATTCCATTGTTGGTGTATAGTTTTATGAGTTCTGACAAACACGTACAGTTGTGTAACCACCACCGTGCTCATCATGATAGTGAACATAGTACCATCACCCTGGAGATACTTTGGGTCCCTTTTTAGTTAGCACACAGCTCTGGCAATAACTAATTTGTTTTCCTATTATTTTTGCCATTTCTAGAATATCGTACAGGTGGAACCCCCAGTATTAGCTTTTGAAGTCTGGTGTCTTTCACTTGGCATTTGGAATCCCTCATGTTGTATCAGGGGTTCCTTCCTTTTTATTACAGAGTAGAGCCCATCTGTGAATGGGTCAGTACACCCATTGACTGATCATGGGTAGCTGGCTTGTTCACTTCTTTAGCAATGGGAATAAACTGCTGACATCATTCCTGTGCACAATTTCATATGGACATAAATTTCCATTTCCCTTGTGTAAATACCTACACAAGAGGGTTTCCCGGTGGCATGGTAAGTATATATTTTCTTTATAAAAAGCTGCCAAACCATTTTCCAAAGTGGCTGTAACATCTGTACTTGCTCTGCACTTGATTGCTGACTGTTGATGATTTTTTTTAGTTTTATAGTAAGTCTAGTAGGTGTGTAGCGGTAACTCATTGTGGTTTTAATTTGTATTTTGTATTTATTCTTCGGCATAATGTCTGTCAAATCTATTGCCATGGGGCTGGAGAGATAGCTCAGTGGCTAAGAACACTGGCTTCTTTTTTAGAGGGCTCTGGTTCAATTCCCAGCACAGGCAGCTCACAGCCACCTGTCTAAACTCCAGCCCTGAGAATCTGAAGTTCTCTTCTGGCATCCATGGCCACCAGGCACACACGTAGTGCCCAGACATATACACAGGCAGAGCACCAATACCTATAAAATAAAATGAAAATGATTTTTAAAAATCAGTTGCCAGCCTCTTTTAAAAACTGGGTTATTTCCTTAGATTGGGATTTTAGAAGTTTGTATGTCTGTTCACAGTTCTTTTGTTAAAGTCCTAGAGACTGTTTTCCTCTCTCACTGCCCGTTACTTGCCTTTCTATTTTCTGAGTCTAGAAGATTGTACATTTTGCATTCGCTGAGCTCCTGCTTATTATTTTGTTTTATGTATCATCCTTAGTGCCCTGTCTAAGGCATTTTTAGCTCATTCCAAGTCAGAGCTTTTCTTTACTTTTTTATAGTTTTTAAGATTTTGCACACCTTTAATCCCAGCACTCGGGAGACAGAGGCAGATGGATCTCTGGGTTCAAGGCCAGCCTGATCTACAGAGTGAGTTCCATGACAGCCAGGAATACACAGAGAAACACAAAAAACACCAAACCAAGCCACACCGAACAAAATTTACACTTAATGTGTGTGATCCATTTGAAGTTAATTTTTGTTCTGAGTGTGGAAACACGTCTGTACTCGCAGCACTTGGGATGCTGAGATGGGAGAATAACAAGGTCTGTGTAATGCATGGGAGGCCCCTTGATTACAAAGGAAGGCTGTCTCAGACACAAAAACTGAACAAACAAAGAAGCCAGGTTTTGTATATTATATAACATGTGCATTATCTGTTTATATGTATATTTGTTAATATTACATAAAGTTCAGGTTCTTCTTGTCTCCATTTTGCTTTGGAGGATCAGTTCCTTACCCCAGTGCCATTTATGGATACAGACTATCCTTTGTAATTGAAGTTCATTCACATTGTTGTTAAAAATTAATCCACCACATGTTTATGGTTCCATTTTGAGATTCTGTTCTTACTAATCCACATAGATTTCCACCAGTGCCTTTTAGTTACTATAGGTGAAATAAACTTTGAAATCAGGCAGTATGAGCCTGATATTTCATTTCTCTCTTCATGTAAAACTTAGCATCAGTTTGCCGGTCTCTTTATTTCATTTAAATATGATGATGATGATGATGATGATGATGATGATGATGATGTTGATGATGTGTGGGAGAATATATGCCTAGCACCTGTGTGCAGGTCAGAGGACAGCTTCATGGAGTTGTCTCTGTCCTCCATCTTTATATACATGGTTCTAGGAATTGAGGTCAGGTCCACAGACTTTGCAGTAAGCACTGTGCTGGCTGAGCTCTCTGTGAGTCTGGCCCAGTCTGTGACTTTCTACAAGAGCTTCCTGTTTGGATGGACTTGGATTGAATCCCATATTTGGGAGAGGGTCTGAGACTGCAGCCGTGTCCAGGCTTTGGGCAGCAGACATGGTGCATCTGCCCTTCTTTGTTTAGCTCTTTGGTTTCTCCTATCAGTGCTTTGTAATTTCAGCTTTTAGATTTTGAGCATACCTAGTTAGATTTAGTTAGTACCTTTGTATTATACTGTTATTTAGTTTTGAGAACAGTGTCTCATGGACACCAAGCTAGCCTTAAATTCACATCTAACTGAGGCTGGCCTTAAACTCCTGATCTTTCTGTCCTCAGTTCTTGAGGGCTTGAATTGTAGGCACTTGCCCTCTCCCCCAGCTTACCATGCTTTTTAAATTGTGTGACACTGTTGTTAAATATTCCAGTTTCGTTTCCTCTTTGCCATTGTAGAGCAGCACAGCTGGTTTTGTATTTTGAGCTTGCTTGTTATGATCTCGGTATTCACTTCTTAGTTCTAGTAGTTTTGTGTGTGTGTGTGTGTGTGGGGGGGTCTTTTGATCATTTCTATGTGCATAATCATGTCAACTTCATATATGGGGTTTTATTTTTTACCTTCCAATCCATTTGTCTTTTATTTCTTGGCTCATCATAGCATTTTTACATTGCAAAGTTTCAGTGCTGTGATTAAGATGTACCACATTGTAAGGGAATGTCTTCTGTGTTTCAGAGATAATTTAGATGACCCCCTGGATGACACTGCTACCGTGTTCCAGCAGCTGGAGCAGCTGTGCACAGTCAGCAGATGTGAATATGAAAAGACGTGTACTCTTCTTGTACAGCTGTTTGACCAAAATGCGCAGAATTATCAAAAGCTCCTGCATTCAGCTTCTGGGCTAGCTGTTGATATGGCAATTCAAGAAGGTCAGTTTGTGTCACACAGTTGTGAGCGGTGTGCCATCGTGAGTAGAGCCATCAGTCACTGTCAGAACCTTGCTTTGAGCCAGGTGTGATGGCACACCTCTTTAATCCCAGTGCTAGGTTAGGGAGGCAGAGGCAGGAGGATCTCTGAGTTCAAGGCCAGTTTGTCCTGCTGTAAACAAATTCTGTAAGTTTCTCCCAGTGTCCCCAGTAAACAAACCACTGATCTTACTAAGCTGTTGGGTATTTTGGTGACTTGACTGTTAATCTTTAGTATTTTTCTGAGACACAGAGGAAACAACTCCACATGGACTCTATGGAACAGCTGTTAATGATCCTCAAGCAGACAGTGTGATGTCATTGTCTTTACTAGTCTTTACTAGTCTTCTTTTCTATAGTAAATTGCAGACATAGCCAAAGTCAGCCAGTAAAAGACACCTCATCAGATTTTACTTTTATTTGTGTATCAGTCTTCACTATGCTTTTTATTTTTATTTCTCACTTTCTTTATTATTGTCTTTAACCTTACTGAACAGGGCATACTTATTTCTTTATATCCCATTAAATACTTTCAGATAGATAGCAGGGAATAATTTTTTTCTTCAAAATTTTAAAATGCAATAGAAGGATGAAAGAATTCATAGTTTTTGTTATTTGTTAGGTTAGTATACAAAGTAATGGGTTTCATTGGCATAGCCACCTGTTTGTGTTACTATACTTTGTTCCTATTCATACCCTTTCCCCTCTTCCCCCACATACCCTCTGCTTCTCGCTGGCTATCTCTGCTCCCGTCCTTCCTCAAGAGAATCATTCCTGTTTCTATGTCTCATACATTCTATTACCTCCTTCCCCCTTCCTCCCCTTTGATGACCCTGTGTCTAGTTTCATGACATATACACACCCACAGATATGACTATACCCTTTTATTCTATATTCATATATATTATACATACAAGTTTAAATCTAGAGTCTGTATGGGACAAAATAGGCAATATTTGTTTTTTGGAGTCTCTCTCAAAATAATATTTTCCAGTTCCATCCATTTCCATCAAATGTCGTGATTTCATTTTTTTTCATGGCTAGATAAGATGCCATTGTATATAGGTATGTATTATGTTTTCCTTATTTGTTTGTTTGTTGAAGGACATCTAGGCTGGTTTCATTTCCTAGCCCTGGCAAATAGCACAGCACTAAGCGTGGAAGAACAAGTACCTCTGTGGTCCTTCAGCAATATACCCAGGAGTACTGTATCTGGGTCAAGTGTAGATCTGTTTTTACTTTAAAAAAAAAAGTAGCTATACTTATTTCCATATTGGTTGCACAAGTTTACATCCCAACAGCAGCAAATATATGTTCCTTTCTCCATTCATGTTGTCATTTGTTTTTGCCATGCAAATCATTCTGAAAATGGTGAATGATTTCTCTGAGTGATTTTACATTTCCCTGACTGCAAGGATGCTCAACACCTTCTCATGTGTTTATTGGCTGATTGTGTTTTTCCTTCTGACAGCTGTATGTCAGTTCATCTGCCCACGTATTGACAGAACGTTTTTTTATGTTTAGGTTTTGAGGATCTTTCTGTATTCTAGAAATTACTTTTTTGTCCACTGTGTAGCTTTCAATATTTCAAATATTTCCCCAGCATTGTAGACTATCTTTTCGCATTATTTTAGCATACAGTTTATTAGTTTCTTCCCATTTACTGCTGTGGGCTTGTAGTCATTTCTGGCACTTTCTGATGTGATGTGTCATTAGGTTGACACTGGAAAATGTAAACACGGCTGTAAACTTTTTTATTTGGAATTGCCTTATATGTGTTCCAAAGGTCCTGGTTATTTGATTCTAGGAAATCTGAAATTTTCATCTTCAATTACTTAGTGATTATTTAAGAGTTATTATTTAGTCTGATCTGTGTGGTGTTGGTGCATGCCTTTTATCCCAGCACTTGGGCGGCAGAGGCAGGTGGATCTCTGTGAGTTCGAGGCCAGCCTGGTCTAGAGTTCCAAGACAGGCTCCAAAGTTACACAGAGAAACCCTGTCTCAAAAAAAAAAAAAAAATGTTGTGTTATTTTGTGCTTTTTCTTATTACTGATTTTTAGTTTTATTGCACTATGATCTGGTAATTCACAAGAAATTATTTTGATTCTTTGAATATTTGAGACGTGTTTTGTGACTATATATGTTAAGTTCATTTGATGAGTATTGTATTTAACTGAGAAGTACTGATTCGAACTTTTATGTTCTTTGGTGTTTGTTTTATGATATTGGGAGCTCCAATATTATTGCATCTATATTTCCAATTGTTACAGTTTTTGATGAATTGGTCTCTTTATTACTGTATACCAGTCTTCTTATCTCTTCTAGCAGAGAGTCTACTTCATCAGCTCTTGGCCTAAATATGCCAGATGGTTTTCAGCTTTTATTTGCTGGTATATTGTTTTCCATACTTGATTCTGTGGCTATCTTTGCTATTGAGGTATGTTTCTTGGAGACATAGATAATTGGATTTGATTTATTAATCCAGTCAGCTGGTCTGCATCTCTTGAATAGTAAGTTTAGTCCATTTACACTTAAGGTCATACAGATCACACAGGGATCTGATGTTTCTGCCAGTTGTATAACATTAACTGAGGCAACATAAACAAATACCTAGTTACCCCAGATAGGGAACCAATAACAGGCCAAACAGTTCCAACTTGGCAAACTGATGAGTTCATTGGAGTTATTGACAGAAGTACAAATGAGTACAGGAAGAGGGTCAACTCAAAGACAAATCACACAAAAGCCTATTCTAGCATGGGTGATAAAGAATGGCAGTGTTGGAGCTCTTGGCCTGACTTGCATGTGGCTGGGCTGGCCAGACTCTTAGCAGTTTTTTACTGCTTCTGTGACCTACATTCCTTAGAGGGGGTCTTGTAAATCTTACGTGGTTCAACTTCTTGGACTTGGAAAGTTTTGCTTTCCTAAGTCTCATGAGCCTCCTTACTGTTAGGCAGCACTGCTTAGAGCAGTGAGTTGGCCCACCCCCTTGCACCTTTTCAAACTGTATCTCCGTTATGTCTGTTTGGAGTTCTCAATGCCTCTTGTATTTGGATGTCTGTTTGCTTTCTCTAGATTTGGTGAGTTTTCTGCATCAGATGGATCCTCTGCCTTAAGTGTTTGTTTCAGTTCCTCCTTCTATTCTATGGCTTCTAAGATTTGATTTCTTGATCTTCCCAGAGTTCTGGCACCTTGTGGTCATGCTTTCTCCCCCCCCACCCCCACCCTTTTGATATTTTGGTGTTGTATTTCATCATCCTTGTCCTTAAGCCCCAATAACTTTTTTTTGACTTGGTTGAGTTTTGGTAATATTTTGCACTGTTTCCATTTATTTATTTATTTTTAAATTTTATTTCATTCAAAGAGTTTTATTTTATTTTTGGTTTTTTGAGACAGGGTTTCTCTGTGTAGCCCTGGCTGTCCTGAATTTGCTATTTAGACCAGGCTGGCCTTGAACTCACAGAGAACAGCCTGCTTCTACTTCCAGAGTGCTGGAATTAAAGGTGTGTGCCACCACCGCCTGGCTAAGACCTAAAGTTTTCAGCTTTGATAGTTTACTTTTTGTTCCTATATGGCATGTCTTTTCTGTATTTAAGAAAACCTATGTAGCAACATCACAAAGATTTTTCTCCTGTAAGTTTAATAGTTTGAGCTGTTACGTTTAGGTCTGTGATCCATTTTAGATTATCTTTATGACTGTTGTGAGTTGTCAAGATTTTCTCTTTTATAGTCAATCTAGTTCTAGTATCAGTTGGTGACAAAATTATCTTTCCTTCATTGAATTACCATGATATTTTTGCCAAAGTAATTTTCCTTACAAGGCTAAAGTTGCTTACCATACTATTCTTCTGTACCATTAGTCTCTACATCTGTTCTTAGGCCAGTACAGTATATTTGGTTAATGTGGCTTTACAGTTGATCCTTGAAGTCAGGTGATATGAATCCTCTAACTTTGTTCTTTTTCATAATAGGTTTGTCTGGTGTGTGATGCCATCAGCTTGCCCTTCCTTTAAAGGGTATCTTATTAAAATTTAGTTGATATTGCCTCATTCTTTATTGCAGATAGGAACAATTAATACTGTTGTGTCTTCCACTTAATGAACTTCACATTGTCTTTGTAGTGCTTTGTTTTTTTTTGGTGTATAGTAATTAAAAATTATCCTAAAACTGTTATATAGTTTGATATATTCCATAACTGATCAATTAGGAATAAAATTCTGTTCTGCTTCTCTATAAAATCAGAGTTGGTTTGTTTGTTGTATAGCTTTGCAGTTGCGTTTGTGTGGACTTGCTCTGGCAACTACATGATTGTGTTGTCTGCAGACAGCCACAGTCCTATGTCTCTTCTCCTTGTCTTGGACCAGTAGAACTTCCGCTGCAGTGTGCTGATGGCAGGGAGTTGATAGACTTACCTTGTTGCTTTCAGAACAGAGAAAGGATTCAGCATTTATTGTTGAGTATGATCTGACCTGTGAGTCTTTTGAAGTTGTTCATAATATAATAAACTGAGGAAATTTTTGTTTATTCATTGAGACATTTATAGTGAATACACTTGTATTTTTTAAGTAGGTGGTTTTGGGGTTTTTTTTAACATACTTTTTCAAATGACTTTTTCTTTTGCTGGTATAGTGAGTTACATTAATTGATTTTTTTAAAATTTATGTTAAACCAGTTTTGCATTCCCAGGATAGTTTTTACTTGGTCTTAATATAGTGAGTTTTTTTTATACATACATCATCTGGTATACAGTATACAAAAAGACTATAATCAGTGTTTGTGAAGGATATTAGTTTATAGCTCCCCTCCACTGTGTGACTTGCTTTGTCCTCAGTGCAAAGAATTCTAGTCAAACTAAAAATTTTTTTTGGTTCTTTGTTTTGTTTTTTTTTTATGGGAAATTTGTACTGTATTAAAATGTACTAGCAGAAAATTATTCCTAATATTCTGTTATTGCTTTTCATATC